GGGGGTAACAGCGGCTTGAGGGGCAATAAAGCTGGGGGTCGGGGTGGGCTTAAATGGAGGGGAGTTGGTTGGTGTTGGGGGGGAGAAGGGGTGTGTTTCAGGAGATGCTCCACCGGGTAAGTCTGTGGCTGGGGTCGCCACGGGAGTTGACCACCTCTTAGGGAGCAGGGGTGATCCCACCACTGGGAGCCATCTCCACCACCCCGGGGGGCTCTCCTTACCCCTGGGGTGAGCCCCCTCCATGGGAAGGGTGGCCTTGCCCACAGCAGGTGGCCCCTTTGAGGGGGGGGGACATCCTTGTCCGTAGCAGGTGGTCCATGGGGAGGGGGATGCTTGCCCATAGCAGGTGGCCACTGAAAGGAGGGGGGTATCCTTGCCCATAGCAGGTGGCCCCTTTGGAAGGGGGGGGAGAAATCTTCTCCCACAGCAGGTGGTCCCTGGGGGGAGGCAGGCGTGTGATGGAGAGCTGGCATGATTCTGTCACCGTCTGCTGAGAACAGGCGTTTCAGTCCACTGGGTGATGGGAACGGTTTGTTTAACGTCCCCGGAACAAAAGTCTCTGTAGTCCCACATGATTAAGTAGGCAGGGACAAGGACCTTGTCCAAAGGATGTTTCCTTTTCAATTGATCTGAACTGGAGAAGCTCCGGCTGTCCCCTGGATACTCAAGGTGACCTGCTCGTTGAGAGTTAGTTTTTTGGATATTCCCTCTGATGTGTGAAGGTGCTCAGTGGTTCCTCTGAACCACACAGTTCATGAGTGCCAAAGTAAGCTTTGAAAACATTCAGAAAAGAATGTTGTTAACTCACCTTCTCTTATTTTTAGGGAGGAGGAGGTGGTTCCCTTACTGTAATTGTTCAGTTCCAAGGTGTTTTACATTACTCTTGTTATGTTCAAATTACATGCCACTATTTAAGAAATTGGGAGTAAGTGTTACTGGATACCTGACCTCTGAGTAAGTTGAGAGCACAATTAAAATAGCTTTCTTGAGGAAACGGGGTAAGCAGAGCTGATTTTTACATCCAGAACTTGCTATGTAGCAGTTATGTAGGCCTTTAAAAAGTGCTTTTCATCAGCATCCATAACAAGTGATTGATCTGAGCAGCACGGCTTTTGCAACGTAAGCGGGAAGACCACTAACCATGACTGAGAGGGTCAAAATGGCACAGTGAAAAGGGGGCAATGTGACTTCTTGGTTGCATTGGAGGACAAGTAGAGGGAGACGGTGACATGACCTACAACTCTTTATTTGAGGGTGTTCAACACTGATGCTTTGAAAAGTAGTGCAGCACATCTGGTTTCCAAGAAATACCTTTGGGGACATGGGCAAATGTGACAATATAGGAAGGCTAGCACATACGCAGCTACAGAATTCTTTTCCAATATGGATCTGCCTTAAAAATGCTAAATTTTCTGATAGACAGCTCTGCAGATGTTTGGCCCTGCTTATGACATACTCCAAACAACAGATGACAACAAACAGCCTCTGAACTGTTCAAAATTCAGTTTAGCTGAAGAAAATCCGTGATTGTTTTACTTCTAGCTTTAAACTCATCTTGTTGATATTGGTGCAAGGTGGCCCGTGCTGGTAAAAAGAACACAAAAAGTTTGGATTTTGTGTGCGTAAAAAAAAAAAAAAAAAAAAGAAGAGAAAGGCAGGTAGCAGGCCATTGTCATGGAAGAGGAAGGGAAAGAGATTCAGTCCAAAAAATGACAAGTGGAATTGCACTCAGTGCTGTGGTGAGCACAGCATAGTAAGAGGTCCAGCTGTAAGCATAAAGTCTTGACCTTACAGTGTCAGTGGTGCAAGTCCTGGAGCAAGGTTTAATATGTTTATGTAGCTGATAAGATTCCCATTAGGATTCACTTTGAAGCAAGGAAAGTGTGCAAAGATCTTGGGTGGAAATTGCTGTGCTTTCCTCTCAGAAAGAAGTTCTGTTCCAGGTTGCAAAGTCTCCAGAGCTATCAATGCAGGAGCAAATAAGGCAGGAAATAGTACATTTCAAAATTTGCAGAAAAGTAACTTGTGCAATTTCACATTTCCAGAATTATATTCTGATCCAAAGGAATAAGAGCTCTTAGACTTTTTAAGTGGTTGTCTTCTGAAATGTCTGCACAAAGAATAGTTCAGCTAGCTCCCTTCCCCCTTCAGCGCTGGCCCAATACAAGCACTGGAATCAGAGTAACTAGAACCAAATTCTTTCAGTGCCAGAGAAACCAAATACAATGGGGACTGAACTTACAAATGTTGTATTAATCTGGTGCAAGAGCTGCTCTGTTCTGAAGATACTCATGTGCTGTGTATATACCCTTGGAGGGGAAGCTGGTGCTAAACGAGCTGCCCTTTCAAACTGGCCTGCAAGTGCAAGAGCTCTTGTACCTCTTCTGTCAAGGCACTGGCAGAGCAAACAAAAGGTTGTTTTATTTTTTTTCCCTTTCACCTTGCAGCGCACTACTGTGCTGGATTCTTGTGTTAATTAAATAATAATATATCTTCTAGTGCAGAAGGTTTTGAAATTTGTCCCTAAACTAAAGTCTGTGAACCTTGTCCTTTCTCCAACTTCTTCCCCTCTAGAACGGCAGCAATTCTGCTTGTACCATGGCCGAGCCAAAGTCAGTGTGTGTTTCAGTGGATGAAGTGGTCTCAAATGGCACAGATAACCAAGATGTTCGACTGATGAATGGACATTTGAAGAAGGTGGACAATACTCTGACAGAAGCTCATCGTTTCTCCTACCTACCCCGCAGACCAGCTGTGAATATTGAGTTTAAAGAACTGTCATATTCTATCCAAGAAGGACCATGGTGGAGGAAGAAGGGTAAGGAAAACAATGTTTTGGCTAATGTAGAAACGTTATTGCCCATGTGAGTGGTCATGATACCTGGAGTGAGTCTGTTGTGGATGGCGAAGCAAAGGGAGTAAAGGGAGTGGGTTTTCACAGTTGCTTTTTGCTTGGCTTCTGGATACACCCACTGCCCCACAGTCGGCACCGGGGAACTTCCCTGGAGCTTGACGCAGTGGGGTGTATGGCCCCTTGCACTCCAAGAAACTGTAGATGTAGTAGTTCATACAACTGCTTATTTTTGCCTCCCAACTCCAAAGTATCTGAAGTAAATATAGTATTGCTGTGCTGCCAAATATCTGTCCTGTGATCTCGCAAGTCTACAATACACTGCTGAGGGTGGGTAGAGCATGCAGTAGTTTAAAGATGGGGGTGGGGGGAAAGAGGATGCTTTTCTTACTTTTGTGATTGGTTGTTTTGTGAAATGTCTGGAATGGTATTTTTTCAGTAGCCTTTCAGAACAGTGAGCGTCTCAGAATTGCGGAAGGCCTTTGAAACCAGAATAAAAATTACTCTCTCTAGAAACGCTGTGTTTGGAAATAAATACTGTGAGCTATAGGAATATCAGCCCATCCATCTATCTTGGTGTTCTACGATGCGTCTCTCTCAGCTTACCATTTCTTTTCATTGATGAAATCACTGGCTACTGCTAGGGCTGAATCCTGAGGTTTAGTCAACGACCAGGATGCTCTTGCTAGCTACTTGGCTAATAATACACAGCAAAGAGTCGACAGCCTACAACACAGGGCACACCAGAATGATACAATATTGAATGTCTCTCAAGGAAATGAAGTGTTACCACTTTGCTCTCACAATCCAGTTTCACTTATAGCTGGTTTCGAGGCAATGACAATTCTTCTGTTGCCGATTTATTGATGGGACTAAGGAGGGCATATTCACCTCTCTTCTTCCTATGCTCTTGGTCTATTCCAGTTCTGAAAGGTGGGTGTAAAGTGGCTGTGTCCTTTTTCATCTGCTTTGCATCCATTCTTTTTATACCTTCATCTGCTTTGTGTAGCCTTGTGTTTCCTAGAGAGTTTTTGGTTTTTGTGTGTGTGTGTGACTAGTCATCTCTGAAAAAGGAAAACTAGGTTGTGCAGTAAATTCCTGCTAGCGAAAAGAAGTAAGCCCAAGAGAAAATATTGAAATCTTCAGGAGAATTTTGTGTACTAAATGACATAATTGCTCTTCCTCAAGGAATTCTTGCTTAGTATCGTAAATTGGTATGGTTGTGTGCTTTAGTTGTTTTAAGAGATAAGCCCCTGCCAACGCACTGCTCACCTGAGCCATACTTGATACCCACACTTGCTCTGAATCTGTATATCCACCGGCTGAAAGGTTCCACTTGAAATTGTTTCACAGTGTACATTGCTGCTGTCTGGAAATTGTGTCGTTATCACACCATCAAGGCTTCAATAGTCTAAAAATGCGTGGTATGAAAAACACTGGATCTATGACCATGGAAGTGCTACTGTATGTGGACAGCCTGTGCATACAGTTACTCATTTGTTGAAGGATGTGCAAACTTAAGGCTCTAATGAGTTTTTCAACATCAAAACTGCATGTGCACACTCCTGCATTCTTATAGTTCTTTATTAAAATTGCATATAACCGTACTGTTCATAGGAGGACAACTTGGTGTGGCAGCAACTTTCAAAATTATTCTTTATCAGAATTATTTTTTATCTTATCAGAACAAACTCAAACTTTGATGTCTTTTTTTTTTTTTCCTCCCAAGAAATGGAACTGTGCCAGTGTCTCATGTAAGGTTTAAAAACTTGAGGTTTTTAACTAAATCTCTTTCTTGTTGGCTGAAGATGATGAAGACCAAAAACCTCTGTCCACATTTGCTGACGCATCTGAGTGGCTTGGCTTGAACAAAATGGCACATCCTGACAAATTGTTTTGCTGCTGAAAGGGACCAGTTGTGGTATTTAGGTCTAGGGCATGGCTGGCTACGACTGTTTCACTGCACTTGAGTTGAAGGAGGAGATTAAACTTTCCTGTCTATCTCTGAGTTTATGTTCTCCTCACCTGGTCTTGCACCATATGTCTTTCCTTGGACCACTAAGGACAGCCTCTGAGTGGCCGTGAGGCATGCTGTCTGCCAGCAGGTCTTGGCACTCTTCTAGCCAAGGATCTAAAAAAGACTTGGGGGGAGGGGGGGGTTACAGTGTATGCCAAGCTGAATATGAACCAAGGTGTACTCTCACTGCAAGTAAGGCAAACCACACAATAAGCTACCTTTGGAGGACTTGGCCAGATGGATGCAAGTTGTTACCCTTCTCAACATTGGTAACAACTGGAATACCATATCCAGTTTTGGGCTCTCCAGATCAACAGAGAGATTGGGAAGCTGGAAAGGGTCTGTCAGAGGAGTAAAAAATTGTTCAGGGGATGCAAGTTGTTACCCTTCTCAACATTGGTAAGAGTACAACTGGAATACCATATCCAGTTTTGGGCTCTCCAGATCAACAGAGAGATTGGGAAGCTGGAAAGGGTCTGTCAGAGGAGTAAAAAATTGTTCAGGGGACCTATGAGGAGAGGCTGAGGGAGCTGGGCTTGTTCCATCTAGTAAAAGTGAAGCTGTGGGATGATCTCATTCTGGCATAGAACTACCTAGAGGGCAGTTATAAAGGCAGTGGAGCCAAACTCTTGTCGGTAGTGCCAGATGACAGACAAAAGCCAATGGCCACATATTGCAGGTTGAGTGGCTTATGGTGAACATTAGAAAATATCTGTTCACTAGGAAGTTGGTGCAACACTGGGACAGATGAGCCAGAGACAGTTTGCTTTCCCCATGTCAGGGGATGTAGAAAATCTGGCTGGGCAGAGCCACAGGTGACCTGATGTTGTGTTGGTGATCATCTTGCTTTGAGCAGAAGGCTGGACTAAGTGACCTCCAAAGATCCTTTCCAAGGAGCACTTCTTTGATTCAGTGAATTGCTAGCCAGATTACAGAAACCTTCTATAAACAGACTTTTTTCTCGGTCATGTTCCCTAGTCCAGGGACTGAGCCAATATATTACTTTTAATAGAAAGGGTTTTCCATTAAAGAAATAGAAAACTGAATTGTCTAAATTTACTCTCAAATGAAGGTAAGGACTGAACTGTCAGATTCCTTGAATTGTTTTAGTGGTTCTGCAATAGAATTGTTTGTGTGCAATTTGGGATATCTCTGTTTAAAACTGATGGGCTTGTAGATGAATACGTTACACTAAATTGCAATGGGTTTTAATCTGCCTCTGCTCAACAAAAGGGAAATACTGTGTCTTGAAACACCGGTGGTTGTTCCATCTCTACACTCCTCATGGGTTCCCTGTGCTAAAAGGATCTGTCATTACCATGATGTGAAATTTTTAAATTGAGTTTTTTTATGAGAAGTGTAGCAGAAAACATATTCCAGAAGGTACAAAGTCTAGTGTAGGAAATGCAAGTGATTTTTTTAAAAACAGTAAACTTATATGCATAAGCTGAAAAAGAATAATAAAATGGGAGGTGTTTCTCAGTGCTGGTCATGGCAATGAGAGATGTCGTTATGAAAATGTGCCTTTTAAGTTAATGGTGTTTCTATTTTGAAATGGAGCTTGGAAAAAATATTTGCTATTTCTACATCTTTCTCCATGACTCTAATGAATTGGTTAAAACCTTTTGTGAGTGTTGGATCACAAAGGGAGAAGTATAGTTTCCTTGCAAAGGCAATTTGTGGCAGAATGTTGAAGAGGAATTCAACTAAAGAGCAACAACAAAAAATGTACTCTCTTCAGTAAAAATGGTATTGTGAAGTAATGTTAAGATTAGCCTCTAAATTAACAAAAGGAGGAATAATTATTAATGCTCCATTGTGTTCTGTACTTAGCTGTGTTTTTCAGACAATGAAACTCATGGTATGTAACATCATTTACTTTTAATTAAAAGCACAAAGCAACATGAATTTGCATTGCTTGTCAACAGCAAAGCAGCTAAATAAGCCATCACAGACTTCAAATTAGAATTTTTCATTGATTTGTGTCAGCCTTAAAGTGCCTAATTTATCTATTAAATCTCATTTTTCTCTTTAAGGATGGGATTTTCATTCTCAGATTTATATGATAAATGCTGTTCTACTAATTTTAATGAGGTTTTATTGAATTCATAGCAAAGATTGGTGTGACTCTGGACCTGATTCATTCATGGTGTAATTCCTTTTGAAGTCAATGGTAGTAACAGGGAAGGAATCTGGTAGGTGAGTCCTTGATCAAAGCAGCTGTATCTGACCCATTCCATTCACTACGAGTTCTTCCAATATGGGAATTTGGAAAAGATTATAGAGATAAAAGTTTCAGAAGGTCTCGGATGACTTTGGCATTTTCCCCATATAGCTCCCCATAAAGCTTCTGAGGGATTAGTCAAGTGGTAGAATTAACTTTTGGAGGAAAGAGATTGATAAGTGACTTAATCCAGATTTTGTGAGGGTAAGGATCTTCCAGAACCAAAACCACGTCTTGATCTTTGAATCCAGCCTTTCTTCAAGGATGTTTCAGGTGTCTCCTGCAGTCAGCAAGGTTCCAGATTCACCTTAAGAGAGCTGCAGGACTGCTGGGGCAGAGACAGTGGGTTGTAACATTAAGACAAACTGGCAAAGCCAAAAAAAAGGAAACTTCAGAACACAAAGAAATATCAGGGACACTTAGTCCGAGAATGCCTTCTCCTTTCTTTGAGGATGAGAGAGCTGGTTGGCTTGGAGGGGAAGAAAGCGAGGAGAGTCCTTGGTTAGATCTAGTGTGAGTTTCTTAAATGAGGAAAAGCCAGATCTGCAGAGCTTCAGAACAAACTGTGGCCAAAATTTCAGTGTCTTGTCACGAGGCCGTTTATCTAAGAGCTGAGAGAAAGAGATGTGAAAGTGGAACTTATCTTGGCTTCTGAGCTGTCTGTTTAAACTGCAGCTTAAAATGCAAACCACAGAAACATGTATTGGTTTTGCCAGTTTATGGAAA